AGAAGGAATCATCGCAGACCCCATAAAGTATATATATTCTTGATCAGGACGACGAGCTGCATCGATATAGCTCTGTCCATCCGTCTGAATTAGTGCGTCGATCTCAGAAGATACAAAAGCTAGAGAGCTGAAATTTAGCATGCATTTCTGCATTAGAATATCAGATTGGAGGGTTCAGGGTATCTCCTAGTCGGGCAGTCTCGACTAGAGCCTTCTTACTTGTTATATAGATAAAACATTCACTGAAAGTAATCTTTCGGAATTGACCACGAATTTTATATTTATTATTAATTTTATATTTTAGGTCACAGTGGAGTAAATCAATTGGGTGGAGTCTTTGTTGGAGGAAGGCCATTACCAGACTCGACACGACAGAAAATCGTTGAGCTCGCCCACTCCGGAGCTCGACCATGTGATATTTCGCGAATCCTGCAAGTTTCCAATGGATGTGTTAGCAAAATTTTAGGCAGGTAAGTACTAAATATTCCAATATTCCAAGATCAACCAGTAAGAATGTTGCAGTCGGGCGTAATCAATTTAGGAGCTAAGTTTTGCTCTAATACTGTAGAAAATTCAGTTTTTCTCGATTTGCCACGCCTCTACTGGGCGTAGACACTTAATCTTTGACCAGCTCGTAGACCAAGCTAACGGTAACGTAACTGCAAAATTTGGATGCTTACGCTCCAAAAATGAAAAAATTAGAGGGTGTCATTTTATATAACACGTTCGAAAGAGGCGTAACAATATTATTTGGGGAATCGATAGAGGAGGTTACTACTAACTTAATTATCAACATTTGAGCTTCTAGCTTTTATACTTTAAAATATATAAACTTTTGCAGTTTGCCACGCCCCCTATGGGCGGACTGGATATATGTCAAAGCTTTTTCGTCATGGGAGGTCAGCCCGAGTATATATACAAAATTTGAGGTCTCTGTCATCAATAATGTCCAAAATATAGCAGAATTTGAAAAATCAATATATTTTCAGCGCTCCTAAAAGGCGTAGACAATCATAACATTAGCTAACGTGCAAAATTTTAACAGTCTATTTTAAAAACTCTAGGAGATACAGTTTTAGATATATCCGCCATTACTCGTTGCTCGTTGCTCTTGGGTGGTCGATGCGAATCTACATTCCAAATTTCAGCTTTCTACCTCATCACCTAATATGATGTCTGGTATATCGGGAAATGCATATTCCAATTTGAGACGCCCTTAGTAAGCGGATCGGGACAATTTGAACACTTTATAAATCGGATATATACACGAGTATCTGTTCAAAATATCTTTGGCTTCAATAGCGCCGAAATAAACTGCGTTCATACGGACAGCTGAAATTTTGCATGCATACACTCGCGGGTACCATACGCAGAACAAGTTTGTCTTAATTTTTTCGATAGCTCATCCGATACTTCTTTATAATCGAAAAATGTATTTAGTTTTTTCAGCCTCATTTAAACATATGATGAATACAAACATTTTGTAATTTACAGATTTTGGATACTACACCCCGTTTGCCACAAATTTGTAAAAAACGTATTTCAAGTACCAGAGAGTTATGCTTTGGAATGTACACATATTTTTACCATATGATTACGCTCTGTAAGTTTCAGATTCTATGTCTGCAAAAGAAATTATTCAACAAATAAATTCTTATTATTGCTTACAGTGCTGGGCTGTAGCCTAAGCGCCGTCGCTGCTTACTGCGCAGTTAGCAGAGCGCGTTTTTATACGTGCGTTTGAATGCATGTGTATGTATGTGTGCATAAAAGAAGCTCAGAATGATTAGAGTATCAGATTGGAGGGTTCAGGGTATCTCCTAGTCGAGCAGTCTCGACTAGAGCCTTCTAACTAAATTCAACTGCAAACGCTCATAAAACATGAAATATTAATTCAAAATTCAACCTTGAACTCGTCAAGCAAATGATATTACGAGAATTTATTTGTAGAATAATTTAATTTCTAGACGTACAATCTTAATGAAACTCTCAGAACGTAAACATAATATTTAAATGTATGTAAATTCCAAAGCACATATCTAGTATTTGAAATACGCCTTTTACAAAAATGAGGGTGAAGAGGTGGATATACTCCTAGTAAATCTTAGCAAAAATCGAAATTCTATAAAATTCATCTGAATATACCTTTTAAATTTGGGGACCCTGGCTTTAAATATGTAGGAGATACATTTTTAAAACAGATTTTCGATAAATAACGGGACAAGTTATCAATTTTTTGTGATAAACTCGATATGTGCGCTATATGTACGGACATTCAAAAACAAATTTGAAGTCTCTAGCTCTTTTATCTTCAGAAATCGACGCGTTCAAAGATACGGTCAGATGGACGGACGCACAGACAGGCGCGATTTTGAGGGCTTATGTTTAAGGATACTGTCCTGGGACAGCTTAAATATGTATGAAATACCCATTTTATCAGAAAAATATGAGATTATCCTTGATTAAGTGCTGTTGAATTGAGAGCTGACACTAGTGTGAAAAATATTATGAGAATTTATTTGTTGAATAATTTCTCATGTAGCTGGACTATCTTCATTAAACTGTCAGAAAGTGATCATAAATATATTTGTATTCCGAAGCACAAGTTTCTAGTTTCTTGAAATACGTTTTTTATTAATAGGGGGCGATGGGGGCGTAGTATCCAACATCTCGAGATTATAAAATCTTCGCATTCATCAAATGTATACACAAAGCAATTCTGTAGTCTCCTGGTCTAACGAAACAAAACGAAATCTATTTATCGATTATTCTCGATACAAATAATCGGGTGAGCTATCGAAAAATCGGTTATGATATTTTCACAAAAGCATTATTCCCCGATTTTCAAAGGGTATAAACACCAATTAAACTTCAATTCATTTTTTATCATATATATATATATGTATAAATATATTTTAGATATTACGAAACAGGAAGTATTCGACCTCGTGCGATTGGAGGCTCCAAGCCACGAGTAGCAACTGCAGAAGTTGTTGGCAAAATCTCGCAATACAAACGGGAATGTCCTAGCATATTTGCATGGGAGATCCGCGATAGATTATTACAGGAGAATGTGTGCACAAATGATAACATTCCAAGTGTAAGTATATTTTTGGACATTTCTTACACCCTTGCTGCACAAATAAAATTATATAAACAAGTAAGAAGACTCTAGTCGAGACTGCTCGACTAGAAGATACCCTGAACCCTACAATTTGTTATTCTAATCACTCTGCACTTCATTTAGGCACACATAGATACACACGCCCGTATTAGAACGCGCTCTGCTGACTGCATAGTAAGCAGCGACTGCGCTTGGGCTGCGCGGCAGTGCGTGCAATATTATACGAAATTATTTATTGAATAATTTAATTTCTGGACGTACGGGGGTAAATTACAACAGAAACCGAAATTATATAAAATACACATAAGTCTAAATTTAAAATTCGGAAGCTCTGCTCTAAAGGTGTAAAAGATATAATTAAATAACCGGCTTTCGATAAGTTTTTAAATCGATAATAAAATATCGAGAGCAGTTATCGATTTTTAGTGATAAAGTCGATATGCGCGTGATATACACGGACCTAGGAAACAAATTTCAAGTCTGTAGCTCTTATATCTTCTGAGATCGACGCGTTCATACATATGGACGGACGGACGGACAGACAGACGGACAGAGCCAAATCGACTCAGCTTGTCGCCCTGATCAAGAAAATGTATACTTTGTGGGGTCTGTTACGCGTCCTTCTGCCTTTTAACAAAACAATTATACCCTGATATCCCATTTTCAAAGGGTTCAAGTAAGAAATCTGTAGTCACGGTTTTGACAAGAAATGTTATTAAACAATTAAGTTCTCATAGCAAGCCCACACTCCAGACCATGGTTTTCATGCATGCATGCGTATGTGTATGTGTGTGTGTGCGTATGTGTATTGCTAAGCAGAAAGACGCGAAGAATTATTGAAATATTAATTCTTTGCAGGGTTCAGGAGATTTCGAAGTCGAACAGTCTCAACTAGAGCTTTCTAACTTGCTTAAACGTAATTTTAATTATTAATATTATTAGATCTAGAGACTTTAGATTTACCGTTTTTATACATTTTATGAATACTCAGATTTTGTAATTTATAGAATTTGTATACCACGCTTCCTTCGCCCCCAATTTGTAAAAACGCTATTTGAAATACTAGAGACTTGTTAAAGAACATACAAAGTATGTATGTATATCCATATTATGAAAGTTTCATGATAAGAAAAATAATTCATCAAATGAATGTTACCCGCATCGCAGCTCAAGAGCAGCGTTAGTAGAGCACGTGTTTTTAAAAGGATCAGGGTATCTCCTAGTCAAGCTGACTCGCTAGAGCATCTGACTTGTTTCAGCTAGCGTCCAAAGCAATTTAAGCAACGAAAAGTTCAATTCGAACCGATTCAAAATATAATGTTAGTTAAACTGTACATGTGTATATATACATACATATGTATATACATATAGGTAATACATGTATGTATATATTCATATATTTATTCTGTTCTTCAATATTTGCTGAAGTCAAAGGAACTGGTCGATATATAAAGCTTTTAAGTATTTTCTAAGGATTTAAGTGCCACATTATTTGAGTCATTTTACTCGCTACTTGAATTTATTCGGTAAGCTTGGCGCCATTTTTTTCGTTTTGCCGTTCTTATATCTAGTTAGCAATACCATTTTTTTTTTTTTATTGTTTATTAAGTATGCGAAAAAAGGAAATAGCGAAGAAGGCGAATGAATTGTGACAGCGATGCCAATGGCCTGCGCTGTACTCTACCTCATTGACAGTTGTGTGGAAAATGTGCTCATTCAAATGGAAGGGAAAATCTTTTATGCACATTAAACGACAAAAAGGGAAATCACTGCTAGAAAAAGTATGAAAAACGTACAATATTAAATAAATACGGCCCAGCCCGTTACCACAAAGCGTAAGGCGTTGAAATTCACGCGCAAGGGAAAGTCCGATTCCTCCTTTTATGCTGAAAACAGAAACAGCAACAGAAACGGAATTGGATAGGATGGGGACATAGATTGAGAGCCGAGCCATAAAAAATCATTTAGGGGTGAAAGCGTTAGTGTTTGGCAGCTAGAAATTAAATTGCTGGATGTTGGCCGTACGCTCTAATTTGATCCAATGGGCCAAGGGATTTAATGTAGCAGGCATCTGAAAATAAGTAAAGAACTTTTGTTAAAGTTTCTTAAATTTCTAATCTAATAGTTTTGTAATAACAAATTAAATATGTAACAATGTTATTGATCGTCTTTTAGCCGAAGCTTTTGCATCTCTATGTCCGTATTTCGAGATATTCAAGCATTGTTTGACATACCTGAATTACGGTTGGTGTATCCGAATACATATAAATTTATAAATATATGGATGTGCATATGTATATGGATTTTATTCTATATTTATGTGAGTGTGCGTACGATGCTTTCGGAGATGCCGTACATTTTATTTTTAAAATAAGTTTTTATACAAGCGTTTGCTTTCGTTCCCTCGAAAGGACATGTCTGCCTAATTTTTCCACTCAACTGCACTTTTCCCTGTTGTTCTCACTCGCTCATTTATATGTTTTGCGCGTTTGTTCTTTCTTTCGTTCGTTTCGTTTTCGCTGTTGCCTTTTGAATTCATTTCAAAAGCGCTGTCATGCGCAGGCTTTGCCCTAAAATAACAATAGAAAAACAATACAGAGGTAATGCATGACTAGTTGATACTCTAATGGACGCTCGCTAAGACCCAGTTCAGACATCCCAATATTATTCGCCTCTCCTAGTTGAACCGAAATTCTACAACTTTCGAAGAGTAGCTGGCTAATCGGTCATAAAAGAATAATATTTTCATTTATGAATGCTTTACAAAGACTTATATCCAATATATAACGGCTCTGGCTTATGAACTACAAATTTATCACTAAAAAACGATAACTCATTCCGATACTTTTTTATCGATAAAAAAC